TTCTCGACAAAACTTATCAATCACTAATGACCAGGATATGCTTTCTACCCATAGTTGACTAATCGTTTTCCCAGGCCTTTCTATAACACATCGTTATTGGACTGTAAGTCTCAATCCTTCAATTCCACTCAAATCTTTTCAAAGCTCTGATTCTTTCAATTTGAGTCTTAAATATTAACCTCACAAACACTTACCAAATAATCACGCATGCATAATATAAGATAACTCCTGAGATACGAGACCCTAGAATAAAATAAACCATATCTTACTCAGGTTCATATATTACCTAAGCGATTAGATTCATTTTAAGATAATATTTATATTATTTTGGGTAGTATGTATTCTTCGAATAATGCATTCGATCATTTAGATAGAAATATTCTAAAATGTATGATACATATTCAAACCCGCACCCAAAAAAATCATCCACCAGTTTAATGAGTCTGGTTTTTACATAAGGCAGAATTATGGTAACCCACCCGACAACTTTGGCTGTCAAACAAGTTCGACTCAATTTTAGTCGATACCTTAATGATGGACAATTGAATGATGAACCAACTGAAATCCTGTCAGTTTTTTAGTCTAAAAATTCATGTTGGAAATTCAGCCATTTTTTTCCACCGGTTATAACAGGAAGAAATTTTCTATCATTATAATTTCTTTTATTGTATGTGTGTGTGTGTGTGTGTGTGTGTGCCCCCAACAGTGATATGTTGGTAGAACAATCTCTTTGAAGGTTCTAAGTCCTCTTAAGCCACGAGTTCAAATTTTCCTCTGGCCAGTTTGCCTGTGGTGAGACGTTCCTCGAATAGTTAGGCACATGAGGATGGGTGGGGGCTCGATATATATATATATATATGTATGTATGTATAAATTTCAAATTTTTGATTGTGTATGCACAAAAATAGCTTGATTATTATATTGGTAAATAATGTGTTGTTATTTATCAGAATACCTTCAAATAATGAGACAAACTTTTATTTGTTCTTTATTCTTCTCTGTTAATTTTCATAACATAGAAATTAAATTAGTACTTGAAAATTAATATCATTTGTTTTCCCTATGGCCCATAATAATTTCAATAGACTTAATTAGAAACTCATTTCATAACTAATGATAGAAATATTAAAAAAAATCCAAATAAATGGTCAAAAATATCCCAAATTTTTTAAATAAAATTGAAACAAAGGTGGCTTGGGGATATAATTTTATATTTCATTATTTTTGTAAAGTTTCACTAATTAAAATATATTTGTGGTTTTCATTTGATTGTTTCTTCATCCATCCATCTTAGTGTTCTGGCCAGGGTTGGCCAGTTCCTCATTTTCCTTGAAAAATAAACACCTCGTCACACAAATAATATTTTCATAGTGTTTGCTTTCTTATTAGATGCCAAAGTTATTTTAAAATTTAAGACATTATATTTTGTTCCCATTCAAAGAGAAAGTTCATCATGATTATAATTGAATATGCAAATGATGCCATCTCTTTTGAAATTTTAAAGCAAATCATGCTTGTTAGCAAAGAGACAAGCCACATATCTTAATTTATTCTTAATTTCATTTCTAACTTCTTATATAAACCCCTTATCTAACAACTATCAAATATACAAGCCTAAATCACACAATATCAATACTAACAAATAATGCCAAGGGCTCCTCTTATTCTCCTCCTCCTCCTCCTCCTCATCTCTTATGGTATGTTAAAACTCACTGTGTTCTATGAAAAATGAATTTATGCTATCAAGTTATTAATGAATTGTTGATCATATATATCAGGGCCATGGTCTTCAAAAGGTGTTAGAGATGCAGATCAGAGTGTTGATAAATGCATGGTGGATATGGATTGCATACTAACTATATGCAGAGTTGGATGCCCAAAAGGCTGTTTACATCCTCGCAAACTCCTCCAAGAGTTTTGCAGTAACAACATCTGCCAGTGCTGCTGTGATTAAAAAATTATATATATATATATATATATATATATATATCATTTGTATGTGTGTGTGTTCAATATATATTATGTTTGTGCTTGTGAGTGTGTGTGTGATCAGTAGCTCACCATTATCATCAGCTTGTCCTCTTTTGATTTGCTTGCTCTTTGCAAAATGATAATAAAATTTGATGCATATCTTGCAATTTATTTCTAAATACAAGACATAATAAATTATTGTTCCTTGTGAGAATGCCAATTTGATGTCAAAAAAATTTGTGAAGAAAAGTTTCATGAATTTGAAATATCTCTCAAGGAATAATTTGTTATTTTTCAGTGCATAATATATTGAATTAATTGGTTATGGACCTATGTTTGATTTTCTTGAATTTAAGTTTAAATTTATTTGATTTTTTTTTTTTTGCATATGATTTTATTTGTTTATAAATTTTTTAATATTTAAAATTTATATTTTATTTTAGTTTTATTGGGTTCATTTTTATTTCATGTCTTAAAATAAATTTGAATCTTGGTGGATTTGATTTCAATTTGTTTCATTAGTTTTATTTTTCTTGATTTTTGGATCTTTATGTTTGAATTTGAAGTTAATAAGTTTAGTTTTAATTTGGTTATTATTATTTTATTTATTTTGATTTTTATTATTGTTTTTTTTTTATCATGTTCAAGTTTATTTTGGATAAACTCAATCATGATTCAAGGTGAACACTAAACAAAATGTATTATTGTTATCCATATACCCTTAATCATTGCATGGAAATGACAGATCTGACCAATGAAGATCACAACTCTTATAGAGTGAGTCAGGCTTTACATACTTAACTTGGCCTTATAATTGATCTTCCACACTTACATCATCAAGAGATGCATATATGTAGACTATTTGTTCCTTATTCAGAATTAAATATGAATTATAATGGTTTTCTCTTATAGAAAATTTGTAAACAAGATTAATCAAAATTCTATCTTGCACTCAGGTTGTGTATGAGAAAGCTTTGTTGGTTTAAACGTAGACCCATCAAATATTGAATGAAAGTCATTATTTTAGTAATTAAATCGATCATAAAGTGATATTTATATCTTTCAATATGATATATTATTTTTTGATATAATATTTGATAATACAAATATATTAAAATATTCAAAATATGTGTTGTGTATTCCTGGTGGCACCATTCTGAGTCATTTGGACCTTCTCAAGTAAGGTTTTGTTTGGGGCAGCTGTAGAATAAGCTGCCCCAAACAACAAGCCAGCTTATTCTGATAATCTGCAGATTATCAGAATAAGCTGGCTTGTTGTTTGGGGCAACTTATTCAGAATAGCTTACTGGCAGCTGTTGTTATATAAATGATCATTCTACTCATATTTGGTAAGGTTGTTTGCTACAAAACTGTATGAGGAAAATAATAGATAAAGCAGAAGCCTCAAACTATTACAGATCAATTTTAAAAAATAAAATACAGTACACTCTATTTTGTATCAAAAGAAATGAAATAAGGAGAAATAGAATTACAAGTAAAAGTAAAAATATTAAAATGTTCAATTTAAAACTCTGATGCTGTATGTCCTCAGCGGCACTATCCTCCTAGAAAATCATTGTACCACGATCACTGTTGGCAGGGGAGTATGTTGGAATGTCTGCCCAACGGAAGAAACTATATTGTGCTGAAACACCCCTCTGGCAACCGTAGAACTGCCTCCCACTGCTATGAGGGTGGCGTGACGTAAGGGAGTCGGTAGCCCGTACTAACACAACAAACTCAGGAGGTACCTGAAATCCTAGAGCTCATGCTGCTACTGAGATAAAACAACAAAACAATCATTTTTCAAATCATAAAATTAAATTAAGTTTTATATAGCAAAAATAGAACAAAAAAAACGAAAACCATAGAAATTCTTAATAGAACAATAATATTCAAACTCATTTTACAATCAAATACATAAGAAATAAACCTAGACTCTAACAAATAAAGAAACGATGTTGAATCAACATTTAGAAATACCATCTGCGATAGACTTTCTCAAAGCAGCCATCTCGGCGACACCTTCACCATTCTGAGTTTCAAATTCATTCGACTCGATCTCATCCTCAGGTAATGATTGACCAACCAAAGATTCTGAAGGTTCTGGAGTGACATGTAGCTTATCTTCATTAGCCAAAGAGAAGTTTGTATCTGATTGAGAGAGATGTTCTCAGATGAAGTTGTGAAGTGTCGTAGTTGTCACCACAATATGCATCTGTTTGGGAAATGGATACGACTACATATCACTTAGAATGACACATTTCTTCTTCCACACCCCAAATGTTCTTTCAATTACTCTGTGTAAGGAGGAATAACGTTTGTTAAACATTTCTTTTCTGAAACGGATCGTGTCACTTACTCTCTCAAAATTAGGAATATGGTATTTGGTGTCTGAATAGGGCTTCAAGTAGCCCCTCTGCATCGGATAGCCGACATTAACCAGATAATATTTCTCTATTATGGAAGACAATATTAATGACAAATAATACATATAAGTTATATGTTCAAATAGCTAAATGCACTTAGAGGTGGATGTGGGATACACTGTGTTATATTCCTCATTGCATAGGAAAAAAAAACGATTATCATGTGCACTCCATTCCCATAATGTAAAGCACATGTTGAAGTCACATATTGTCATGACATTTTTGGTAGTTGAACCACTCCAACCAATGTACGTCACTTTTTCGTGGCTTGGCAGTCTGGCATCTACATGTGTATCGTCAATTGCCCCAATGCAGTTTTGTTTTCCATTGTTAGAAACACACTGAAGCTAACGTAACACACTAATAAAAGTTACCTTGAAATATGACATGTAACGGGGATCATTTGTAATTTATTTAGGAATAGTTACGAACGATGGATCCTCCAGTTTAATAATTTGTGACGCTAAGCTCACAAGTGCATGTATACCTTTGGAGAAGTATTGGCTAATTGTTTATGAGAAATGTTGAAACTGCTCCATAGCACTTCTAATTGATTTGTTCTATGAAAAGCTCCATAGCACTTCTAATTGATTTGTTCTATGAAAAAATGTATAATGTTATAGCCAACACCTCTCTAGTTGTCATTCTAGAAGAACCTTGGAGGTTGTAGTTAAGACATAACTCGTGAAGGAGATCCATAAAAGTGAGTGCAATCTTTCAAAAAGTATTGCTAAACCTTATTGAATTTCCAACAAGCATTTCACCAACCCATTTGTCCCCAACATAGAAGGATGTCATGTGTGGTATCTGTCTAGTGTTGGTGCGATAATATTCCAACAATAATAACACAATAATTGTAGCCCATGTCATTATTTTATGACGTTCTTGCTATAAATCCATCTTGGAAGGAGAAATGTATTAGGACAAGCAATGACGTACGAATTTAATAGAAATAACATCGAGGACTATAAAGCATCAGAAAAGAAATTTCATAAAAGTGCTTAGATAAAATTACATAAGAGAAAAATCTAGTGACAGCATAATGAAGAACAAACTCATTCTTCTACTAAAACACACAAATATTCAATGTGCAACACAGGCCGCAGCACCATAAATATTTGCCCACGAGTAAGGTCTTCAAGTTTTCTAACACATTTTGCATGAAAGCGCATATCGAAAACTACATCTGGAATAGCATCCAAAATGACAACGCAATCTAAGCTGATGTTGTCAATGGGTGGAGATGAAAAAGCATCAATCAATAGATCGAATGAGCTTTTCACAAAAATGTCATTTTCTTTTTTCTTCCTGTCAAGCCTGGGCCCCTTGGAAAGGGAACTGGACTCCTCCATCTTCTTTTGGTTAACACTAGGCCTTCTTCATCTTCTATAACATGTTCTTATGGCAGGTCATCTGGTATTCCTAAAAAACACAACTCGCTTGGGTTGAAAGCATGTTTTCCTGTCGCGACAACACCCTTAAACATGATATCCAGTCTTTCTTTGAAATCCGGCTCAATTTCACACTGCTTATATTTTTTGGTTGTTGGCATGACCTGTATCAATAAATGGAAGGAGAGCGGTTTAGTAAATAACAAAAAAAAATATGAGAATAAACAAAATGAGAGTGTATTTATTACCTTCAATCTTTAAACCCATCATTCATTTGGAGCATTGATTGTTCGCTTAACGGGATCCCAACCCATCCCGGTGGATCCACGTTTGAGCTCCGTCTAAATTTTCCACTTCTTCTTCAATTGATTCCATTTATTTTTGAATTTGAGCCTATCATAATCCCTTCCCGTCAATTCTTTGAACATTTTCGCAATATTTTTCCAACTTTCCTGGTTGAAATAAGTAGTTGGCCTTTTTTCGATTTCAAATTTTGTAATACAGAGATTGCAAAAAACATTTGTAACTTCCTTATCTCACATAGCTGACGGATCACTTTCATTTGTCTTAGCCATGTTAGAACTATATGAAGAATTTATGGTTAAACAGAGTAACTTAACATATAATATCATGTTAAACCATTCTATAATAAAAACAAATAAGGCTAAAAATCAAATTGCTTAAATGACTGAAGTTAAGATAAATTTGCCTAATTGCCTTATTTATTCAGAAACTCTCGTATATGCATAAGAAAGTCTCATGTATGCATATATCTATAAGCAAGCCAAGCAGTGAAATGAAATTGGAGCTTGAAGGCATGTCTGCTAAACAGACGCAGCTTGAAGGTATATCTACTTAGCATGATGATATTTCGAGCACCGACAACATTGAAAAATTAATTTCAAAGCTTTTGCAACAATATTCTAGTTTATACAATGAGTAGCATATAAACGGTATATATCAGAACTAAGAAGCCTTTTGTGATTCTCCTCGATTATGCCATTTGATGACTTCCAAAATAGTCAAGACACCTTATATTACAACATGAAACATGCTCAAGAAACCCTGTTTTAAGTAAAGTGTCATGATATACATAACTACTGAGCAATGTAAGAAAATCATACATATGAGATTAAACATAAAAGTTTTACTAAATTTATGTTTCCTCTCCCTCCTAAGCATTTCAAAATCATACCATAAAACGGATTATAAGGGGCATTTTGATGCTTCCCCGTCCTTCACATGTAACTTAGGTTTCTAATTACTTCTCATTGAAAAGACAATATGAGGAGCAAAGCTTGTACTAACGTAAGAATGACCAAAAACACCATCAACATATAGCATCTCCTCTTTTTGCCCAAGCTCAACTTTAACGCACTTCAAATATCATAGGAAAATAATAACTTCGATTGAAAATTTCTCAAATCAAAATAGAGCATCACATTGCATCAGTCGTGATTCCCAAATTGCATCAGTCGTGATTCACAACACCCTTAACTTTACCTTGGATTCTCAACGTTTGCCATCAAAACCGTTGCATCTGCTTTTTATCATTGCCCCAAATGAACAAAAACTATGTTTATGAGTAATAAATTGGGCATCACATTGCATCAGCCGAAAACAGAGTTGCTCAAGTGATATTCCAGTGAGAAGAAAGCAAAACAAGACATCAAAAAAGATATCAGAACCAGTTGCTACTAAGGAGTGAATCCATGAAGCATCCATCAATTGGGGAGATTTATAGTAATTTAAAATTTAAAATTTGCGAAACTCGCTCATATGTTCCAGCTCCCCAATTCTATAACCATTTTCATTCTTAACATTAAACTCATACTCTTTTCACAATTCCATCATAGCCAAATCCCCAATTGGGGACAATTCCATGTGACGCAGATTAGAAAGATTACGCAGATAGCTTAGAAAGATTAAGCAAATAGCCAGACAAGAAATCATCAGAGCAAGATCCCCAAAACACCTTATTATAGATTATGAACCGCAAATGAAAGACTGCAAACAGCTCTTGCCATCTGAGTGGGATTTACAGTAAGATTCAATTATCAAAAGCAATAATATTTTTTCCATTATTTGGCTGTACAAATATTAAATGAGAAAACTAATATATGCAAATTAGCAACTCAAAAGATAATAACTTCAATTTCTCTATTCACTCAAATCCAATAAAACTAATTTCCATGCAACAAACGAGCAAGGCAACCAACATGGATAAGCTTACAAAAGTTTACCATATTACTTATCCAATAAAACTAATTTCCATGCAATAAAAGAGCAAGGCAACCAACACTTGTCTCCCCTCAACATTGCATTGTTGAAACACCATGCCCCGCTGAACCCTTCTTTTTCAGACACAAGTAAACACATTCTCAAATACATGTGCATTTATAAACACACAAGTGAATGAATAACTGTTTATAAATAATTTGAGCACTTCTCATGATTTTAAGCATTATTGCAAAGCTATTAAATTTCATGCTTTAAAACTCACCAGATCTAGTATGGCACTGAACCTAAAATTCAGCCGTATTACTAGCCCCCATTGTTCTTATCCCGTAAATCAAATTAGCCATCTCTGAAAATAGAATTCTCATTCATGCAATAAAAAATGAACAATTTTGATAAATATTTCCAGTAGCTTGTTATTCTGGATCACTATAGCCATTTGAAGCTGTTAGTATGAGCATACTCTTATTTCCTCCTGAACTCTCTTTCTAAAAGCAGTTGGAGTAATTCATTATTGTTTGTGGGATGAGTAATCTGAACAAGATCATCAAAAATTGAAGTGGTATGTATGTAAATTCCACATAAATAGCATCTGTTTTTTTATAATTCTCGAATGACATCAGTTGGATCCAAACTCACACAAAAATATAACAAGGGTAATTGCTTAGTAGTAGTTATACCTCATATGTGAGGGTAATTCCAACATTCCCAAGCAGAAAAATGAAGAGCAATGTGAGGGTTGAATACATACTCATATGAGGCGAGAGACGAGGAGAAGGAAGATCGGGTAGGGCGAGAGTGTGAGGTCAAATACCTCATATGTGCCGATCTCCGAGACAATGAAGGAGCAGAGGAGAGATCGGAAGGGCGAGGGCGAGGGCGAGGGCGAGGGAGAGCAGAGAAGGGCACCTCCAGAATTCTTACCTTAAACGTGATAAGCAGGCGCGGGACGCGGCCAGGATCCCGCTTCGCCACTATTAAGGAAATACGCGATTGCTTTTCAGAGCGGCACCAAAACGTTGCCACTAACGTGATATTCAAACAGAGCGCTCGTTTGGGGAGACAATTTGATCGCGGCGGCCCCAACGAGCAGCAGAACGCGGGCCGCCGGATCCTTGCGGTGGTCGAGCTTTCCCTTTTTTTACATTTACGTGTATGCCCCTTCTCCGCTCGTCTTCTGCTGCTAGGATCGGTCACCTATCATCACAGGGATACGTAGCGAGTGTCCATGGGAGAAACCATGGAGAGATGGAGAGAAGAGTGGATCGAACCAGACCTTCTCCGAGTCGTTCTCGACCATCTCTTAGTGTAAAGTACATCCAGAGATATCTCAGGTTTATTGGTCCTTTGAGTTCGAACAATTGATCCTCTCTCTAGAGAAAAATTATTCCATAGGGATGGGAGTGTCTGATTCAGATCGTAAATCACCTGATATACGGTCCCGATGTATTTCGGTGAGCTCCACCTAAATTTTTTTTTAAAAAAAAACGGAAATAATCCTGACCGTAGATCGCCGTGATCTACGGTACGGTGATCTACGGTCAGGATCAGACACCGCATGGAGAGATGCATGCGGTGTTCGTACACAATAATTTCTCCTCTCCCGAGGGAATGAAAGGGTTCTGATTGCCAGAAAAGCTTTTGGAGGGGGAAATCTGCAGCTCTGTAAAAACCTCATAGACTTCAATGAATGCCTTTTGTTTTTTTTTTTTTTACAAGTTTTTGTAATTTGGGAACCATTATTTTTGTTTTTGGTATTTTTAGAAGGTTTTTTGTATGATGGAATGTTGTAATTTTTAATACGTATTTGCTTTCTTGTTGCAAATAAAATTTTCATTTTAGCTTGTAGAGTCGTTGAGGCTTTACTTAGGCTTTAGGGGTGTCAATTCACGTCAAAAGATCAAATATCTCTTCAACCCAAAATTGACATGGCCTGAATAAATCTGACCCGTACCCAACCTAAATATAATATGAGTCAAAAATTTCAATCCTAACCTGACCCGTATAGTCTCTTTAACATAAGGAATAACATTTATTCCGATTAAGATTGGGTTAATTTGGGGGCATATTTCTGCATTTTCCTTGTGCTTAGGTAACTTTTACTCATATAAACTTTTCAGTTAACATTTCCTTGTATGATCTTTGTACTCGATCATCTCACAATTTTGATTTGTTCCATCACTCCAAATAGGGATTAACCTCTTGATAGGAAGTATTCATCAACTATTATTTGCACTGTGAAACAATGGGCTTAGAGTTAGGCATTATGACAAGAAGATGTGTAAGCCTTCTTTCTTTTTGGAAACTTTTATCAGATATGATCGAGTTGACAAAGATGATGTGTTTGGGAAATGGTGAGCAAACCAAAGGATTCTGTAAATAAAGTCGGTTTAGTCATCTTTAGAAAGCCTTCATACAATGAATGTTATGTATGTATGTTTGTATGTATGTATATATAGAAGTTTTGATGCTATATATGTAAATACTTCAGATGAAATGTTAGATATGTAAATATTCCTTTTTTTTTTATGGATGAGGGTGGGGGTGCATTTAGATGCGTACCACTCAAGTCCTATGTATTTTTATATTTCACTAAACAGGACAAAATTGTCTTTCTTTTTAGAAACAGCTGTTTTCACACAGCTGCAACAAACAGACAGTCAGTTTCTCCACAACAACTGTCTTACAGTAACTTCTTTTACTTTCTTGGGGCAGCGCAGCTGCAGCTGCGCCAAACATACCCAAGTCTCTTTCTCTCTCTCTCTCTCTCTCTCTCTCTCTCTCTCTCTCTCTCTCTCTCTCTCTCTCTCTCTCTCTCTTCCTCTGTGCTAGTAATGGATTCATCTTTTTCTTTAAATTTTTATTTTAATTAATGAAAATTAGCTTTTTAACTTACCATAAGAGACCACGAGGAGGAGGATAAGAGGAGGCCTTGCCATAATTTATTAATCTTATACATGCATGTTGGTTTAGATTTACGTTGATACATTTGAGAATTTTTTATAAGTGAAATATTGCTGCTTATCTAAAAAGCTTAAAAACATATTATTTTCATAAAAAGATTTATTATTAGTTTTGAGAGTGAAAATTAAAAGGATCCCTTGCCATCAGCCGTGGTCCATTGGTAGAGCAACCTCTTTGAAGGTCTTAAGTCCCCTCAGATCACGAATTTGAATCCCCCTCTCGCCAGTTTGCCTGTAGTGAGGGCAATCCTCTAATAATTAGGCACGTGCGGGTGACTGAGGGCTCCTATAATAGCCTCGGACCATTCTTTTAAATAGATTATTATTATTATTATTATTATTATTATTATTATTATTATTATTAAAGAAGCAACATAGTCAAAGTCTATTAAAAAAAGTGCTCGAAAACGTATCACATTGATTATACATGTAATGAAGAATCTCGATACATTGACTTCAAACGTTATATATAATAGTACCAATAACATAATCTCAAATGACATTCTTAGACCCCCTAAGAAAAGTTGATGGTTATAAATCAAAGTTATTATAGTTTAAAAAAAGCTGTCAAACACAACCGCACTGACATTTTCTTACTGGTTCATTTTCATTTTTGACGCAGCTCATTGAGCAGGGGCCTGGTCGTCCGCAGATGAATGAGCATGTTGTAAAAGAACATGGTGTTTTGCAGTCTCTTTTACTTGTGCACGTGACTTTGGTATGATAGTACTTTGGAAGGTTGTTCAAATCCAAGTTTGAAGATGACCCACCTAATATACATGTATATATACATTAGAGGGATATATTCATTAATAATTATAAATTATTCTTATAAAATAACATTTATATATGTACCACTCAATTTGTATGTCTATATATATAAGTGTCAAAATAATCACTAACTATTAACATGTTGATTTATGATCCGTTTGGGGCAGCTTATTTGATGCGGTGGCGTTTTGAAAATGCAACTGAACTGTTTGGGTAAACTGCATTTTTGACAGCTTATGCGTTTTAAAAACGCTGAAAGCAGTATTTTCACACCACACTTATCTAGATGCGGTGGCAGCTTTCTGGTAACGGTATAGCTTTTCTAAAAAAATAAAAATTTATAATAGTCAACGCACATAACTTATCAACAGATTATTTTTAATCAACTTATCAACAGATTATTGTGGACTATTTTGGCGCTTGTATAAATTTTGGGGCTAAAATAATCTATGTAAATACTTTGTGACTATTTTTGCACTTTACTCTCTCTCTCTCTCTCTCTCTCTCTCTCTCTGATGGATGGATGGATGGATGGATGGATGGATGGATGGATGGATGGATGGATGGATGGATGGATGGATATGTATGTATGTATATATATATATGGATGGATGGATGGATGGATGGATGGATGTATGTATATGCATGTATGTATGTACGTACGTATGTATGGATGGATGGATGGATGGATGGATGGATGGATGTATATGCATGTATGTATGTACATGTATATTTATATGTATGTATATGTATATGTATGTACATGTAAATGTATGCATATGTATCTGTACACACACACGCACACACGCATATATATGTATATGTACATATACATGTGTATATATATTTATACATATGTATACATATATACATTTATATGCATATACATATACATATATACATATATACATATATGTATACAAATTTACTTATGCATGGAAAAAAATTTATTTACTTTTTAAAAATTAAGATGACAATACTCTTGATATGATATGAAAATTTTCAATGATATAAATTCAAAAGAAAGTGAAGTATAGAGGTTAGATATGCAAATAAGTAGAAATTGATTGCTACTTATGTAAATGCCTCTTTTACAAACTAATCCTTCAAAACATGCAGAGAGTATTTACGTACCATAGGAGAGCAAGAGGAAGAAGAAGAAGAGGAGAATAATGGCAGCCCTTGCCATCACTAGATCTCAGAGATATATTCAAATAGGTCTGTTTCTTGTCTTTTAAATACATTTGATGGCTTTTATAGGAGGAAGGAGACTTCAATGGCTTCCCAACTTGCATTAATAAATTATAAAGTAATTTTCTGAAGGAGAGTTTTAAAATTCATGTTATCTGAGAAGCTTGACTTTTTCCAAGCAAGCAAATTATTATAATAATAAATACTTGCATTAATAAGTACTTTTCTATTATTAAATTAAGAACTTTATAGAAAATTTAGACAAATGGAGGGCACAAAAACAGATAACTTGAAAGATACCTTTTGAACTACATACTTTTTAAGCCAACCCATTCATATTTTATTAATGCCTTGTGGTACAATTTTGTATATGCAATTCAGTCCCTTGACAATCCAAGATTGATTCAAGGCATTAAATAGTTTTGCAGGAGTAGAAGCAATTTAGAATCTCCATTATAACATCTTGTCAAACATTGCTCCTACATGAACTCGGAGAGGTTGTAGCAAACAAACCGAGTGTTCGGCGAAGAATCGGGCTTATGTGGGATTATTGCGAACAAACTGACTCGACTCGATTGAAGCTCGTTTATGATCGGTTCATTTGAATCAACAACAATCAGTGTTGGCAAAAGAAACAGGAAGTTGTTGGATTGTCATAATTCGTCTTCCACGAAATCATCGTCAACACTGCGATAAATGAAATGGCTACAGGTTATATATATAAAGTTAAAGTTTGGGGGTTATATATATATATATATATATGCATAAGAATTATGTGGGCATGTATGTAAATCATCCTAATGAATCATCCCCATATATATCATCTATGGGATAATAATTTGATTAGAAATGAGAAAAAAATGAATATATGATACAAAGCATGAGAGAATTACCTATCAGTAACACAATGCTTGCTAAGGTTTTGGCAAAGCTGCTTCCTGAGTTCCCCTGGTTTAAAATCACCTTTTTTTAACAATTCAGCAAGCTGCAAAATGATTATTTAGGAAAATATCCATTAGTGTCATTATTTACTAGCTAGAAACCATGATGCACTGACTATACAGTATTCAAATCAGAAATTCATCAAAAAGAGGTGTATATTTTTAGGGGCATTCACATACATACCACTCGATTTCTATGAATTTACATATCTAAAACATAAACTTCAATTTTCACATACATGTCATGTTACCGGTGCATGAAAAGATGTATTTCACTTTTTAAAAGTTAAAATGGTGAAATTTTTGAAGTGATGAGAAAGATTTGTGTGGCATTAACGTAAAAAAGTAGAGTTTAGTTGTTAGATATGTAAATACATAGGAATTGGGTGGTGTGTGTGTAAATGCAGCCAATAATTATTATATCCTGCACATGATTACAATGAAAACGAAACCAGAAAAAGTAATAATAAGTGTAACTAACCTCATCTTCTGTTTCCTCCAACAACCTATTTACAAAAGGAAAAATTGAGTTAAAACATTTTCAAGGAAATTAAGAAAAGACACCGTGCCATGTTACAACCTAATTAGTCCCCATTCTATCAACATGGAAAACAAACCAAAAGAAAAAAGTCTAATTCTTAGACCAAAAAACATAACTTCATAGCAAAATTTTCATTCATCCATGATAAATATTGTCATCGCTTTGGCAAGGAGTTGAGGTGGATGTGGAGGTCAAGGAAGATAATCACCAACGGGGAGAGAGATACAGCAGGAGCACCACCTTTACCATCGGATACAGTCCTCGAGGGGAAACTAGCACGCCAGCGGCTTTCCTCACAAATCTAAAATCAGAAATAACATAAACTGAAACCCTAAGACCTAACAAAACATATAAATAGACACATGATGGGCTTGAAATGAAAATAGGAAGGCGAGAAAATTCCCGCCTATTGAAAAGAGGGAGGGAGGGGGTCGGTTAAGTCCCCTCTCTAAACTAAACCGGTTCAGGCCAAACCAGTTCAACTTTTGGAGAAAAACCCCCGTGTCATTCTCCTAGGGTTGGGGGAGCTTCGACCTCATTTGTCGAAGCTTCTGGCTCCTCGTGGTACAGCGTCAAGTCCTCTGACACGTCGAACAAGTAAACATTGTTGTTCCAGGGCACGCATATTCTGATAGAAGAGATATCCATCCACCTTTGGCATGACCTGAGCTAGAACTATAGCTAGACGAGTATACCCATGAACCAAGAATCACGTCATCCCAGTTGTAACTTGCTTCTTCCATTCCTCGTACACGGCTGGGTGCAACTGATAGGCTAGTATGTGAGGAGAAATCCACTCGAAGTTGAAATCTATGGCAGCCTATTTCCCCTCTAACAGCAGCCCTGTCCAACCACTCCTCCCTCTCCAAAGCCGTAGTTCCTGCAGCTTCCAAATTGCAACACATGTTGCTCCAAACCGCAGCCTTCTGTAATAATATTTGAGTTTGTTTGTTGTTGATTTCACGTTTTGAAGAGTTTTTGTAACAGATTTTAATTTCAAAAATAGTTTTGGATTTCTATTGTGGCTTGGGCTTTCTCTTCCGGTATCATGGGATTGATAGAGATTGATGTTGCCCTAATCATGTGTTCTTGATTAAACTGAGGAAAAAAAAAATTGAACAAGAAAGATGAGGTATAAAGAGCGTTATGGCCCGAAGGATATACCTTGTCGTATGAGGTGTAGAAGAGAGTGACGTTCTAATGGGAATCCCTTGCAATAAGAGAAATGAGGATTGGAATCCCCTACAATAAGTTTGTGCCTTGGTTTTAATAGAGGCGCTCCTCCTTAGAACTTGAGTCAAATTATCATAATCGATTGGGCAAAATGATTTGCCGAATATGCTAAAAATCAGCATTTCATGCTGAATTAAAGGATTTAATTAATAGAGGTTGAGAAATATCAGAGAGCTAACATTTCCGATTATAGGCAATAAATATGACACAATATATGGACAAGTGTCAACATTCCTAATATACCATGATAAATGCCTTGGAAAATCAATGACAAATGCTTTGAGGATGATGATAATAGCAATTAATGCAATTGAAACGAGCGCATAAAGCACATCCAAAAGGAGCTGTGGATTTAAGAATGATCAAGAAAAGGTAAAAATTCTAGTGTCAAGAGGATTTTTTGTGAGAGGCCTCTATAGAGACTTCACAAGATTAAGTCTCAAGTGAAATGTTTGTCAAGGCAAGAGGTGTTTGCATTAAATGTAGGTTTCCATGTGAACAGAGACCACCCCTTAGTGTGAACATATTTTCAAAACTGCAGCACGTATAGATTGCGACTTCACAAGAGTTGGCAACAAGACAACAACGTGTTGTTCGCATAGGTTTTCATTTGGTAAACTAAATAATACTACGTCTCAAAATATATATATATATATGTATATATATATATATATATTATTATTATTTATTTTATTTTTTTGAAAAGCCCAAGGGCTAATTTTATTGAATTAGAAAATGATACATAAAGGTTATATCAGAAGAGCCCAAAGAGACACCCTACCCATACGATACAAGAACATAAAAACTCCAACTAAAGGTACAGATAGACTCAATAAAATTAAAAAACAAATTTAAAACATGCAGAAAACAGTAGCTAGGGACGAGTCAGTTTAGTCCTACCTCTTCCTCTAGTTTTAGGAGCAGAACCAGAGAACAAGCTTTGAAAAGTCGTGTCATTGCCAGGAGTCACGAAAGTATCATCCATTAAGTTTCCAAGTTGAAGTGAGCCCCAGACTTTTTTTCCGCCGAGAAGTGTAAACCTGTCATTCTTCATCTGAAGACTGGCTCATGTGATTCTCGATCTGATTTGATGTTGGAACCGCAGTGGGAGGAGAGACAGTCGTTGCCACCGCGATAGGTTCCAGTGTATGTGAAGTGTGAATTGTTACCTCTGCACCTGATGCTCTTGAATAGGAGCTGCGGGTGTCCAAACATCTTGCAAAGCTTACAGTAATATGATTTTTGTTTCATAATGATTTTTCGTCAATAACCATTGTGAGCAGATCCAAGCCAGACTTCTTCTAAATCTGGTAGTGTAATATCTCGTTCATTCAAAATTCTTGCAATAGAGGGTCTTGAGAAATGAACTGTGGGTAAATCTACCTGCAAAGGTTTTCCAAGGATAGTCCTAATTGCATATAAAATAGGTAGATCAAAGAAATGAAGCTTGAGTTCAGGTAATGAGAACCATTTGAGCAATTTCATATGTTTTCCCTCAATTGCGATGAATTTCTTTGAGAAAATCCTCATGTAATTATCTTCTGTGCTCAGTTGTGTCATAACATGTCTTCCGTCGAAATAGTCCACTTGTCAATCCCCAACCAGTTTAAAATCTTCAAAAACCTTCTTGATGATCTCCATCTTAGGGCAACCTAATTGAAACTTTCCAACTAGTGTAAATTTGTATTTTCCTGCACGAGTTAAAATTTCAACATCAAAAAAGAAAATTGCTGGTTTACCCGCCTTATTCTCTACATTTTTATGAGATTGCAATCGTCATTTCCTGCAACAGAATCATGATAAACCTGCGGAAATACCGCACTATCTGCGAGGTGAAAAGAGGTGTTGTGTTAGTGAACCACTGTAGCATAGGAGGGTTTGGCGGGGTTATCACCGGCGAGGGTGGTGGAGTAGAAAAGCCCTAAGGCCATTACCGCAGCCAGTGTCAACCTGCAGCACAGTGAGAAGCTGCACGAATGTCAGGCGGCTCTGTCACGCCAGAGGCAGAGTCAAGTAGACCGGGCGGCTCTACGAGACGCAGCAGAAATGTAGAGCGGCTTTGTCTGTCGCAGACGAAGAAGCTGTCGAGCGGCTCTGTCGCAGAAAACGCGGGCACGAAGTCGACGGCTTTGTAGCAGAGGAGACACAGCAGAAGCGAGTGTCTCTATCGCAGACGAAGACGCTGTCGAGAGGCTCTATCGCAGACGAGACGCTGGCACGAAGTCGGCCACAACACTACCGCCAGTCGAGACGCAAACGCAAACGCGAGACGACGCAAATGGAAGCAGACGCCGAAGCCAAAAGACGCTACGGTTCGTCATGCGACGGAACCCTAGCAGAGTGGAAAAGCGGCATGAGAATGTATCTCTTCCCTATATATATATATATATATCTATGTGTGTGTGTGTGTGTGTGTGTGTGTGTGTGTCTATATGTATGTATGTATAGATGTATGTCTGTATGTATGTATGCATGTACATTTATATGTATGTGTGCATGTTTGTATGTGTTTATATCTGTATGAATGTATGTAAGTTGTGTATATGTTTGTATGTCGGTACGTATGTCTGTATGTAAGTATGTTTGTGTGTGTGTTTGAATATTTGTATGGGTGTATATGTTTGTATATGGGTGTATATGTGTATGTTGTCATATGTTTGTATGTCAGTACGTGTGTCCGTATGTAAGTATGTTTGTGTGTGTGTCTGTATTTTTGTGTTTGTATATTTGTATGTGTGTATGGGTGTATATGTGTATGTATGTCGGTTTGTGTTTATGTACGTCTGTTTGTGTGTATATGTGCATGGCTATCTGTATGTCTATGTCTGTTGAATGTGTGCATGCGCATGTATGTATGAATCTTTGTATATATATGCATGTATGTATGTATGAAACTTTATGTCTTGGTGTGCGTTTTATTTTTTTTTTAACTAATGAAATATTTGTAGCAAGGTTTTTAGAACTGAATCATACACTGGACTAGAGGAAGAAAAGGTTTGAGGTTTAAAATTTCATTCGAGATCAAAACCAATGTTCAACAATGACGATGCAAATGCTATTGATATTAAATAATTTAATAATTATAATTATAATAAAAAAGTCATAAAATGCATATCTAAATACTAATGCATGAAGAAAGTCCAGAAAATATTACATTCCATCACCATCTCACCCGTTAATTCCTAGTCAAATTGTTCAATTTCTCCTGATTTTATACATTAAGCAGTCTAACCATCAAATTTTACAGTTTGATACAGTTCTATAAAAATCTAATTTTCTAATCAAATAAAAAAAGTTTGATAACCGGTTTATGGTCCAACCAATCCAGTACTACCTTTCACTACCATGCTCCATAATATAAATGACGCGGGTGCTGATGATTAAAACAACCAGGCAAAGTCATGTTGAACTGACTTACATTAAAAGGCGAGAAGACCGATCTCGATCCCACCTTAACTACTCACCCCGCCAACTTCTTGCCAAACCTGGACTGCCGCCGAGATTCCCCTTGCCTTTCCTGGTTGCCGCTCAAGGGGAGGGCCTTCCCTCTTCCTATTTTATCTACTAGTCAATATGAATGAGTTGTCTTCCTCTTGTTTAGGGTTGTGTTTTATGTTTTTATTTCAAATTTCTGTATGAAACTGTTTTCAGTTTTTTAAGAGTTGTATCCGAGAAGGTATTGGTGCTCCGGCTGTATCCTAATCCGACGTGGTGTTGTATCATCCTCAATCCCCTTCTTCAATCCTCCCATTCCCTTCTCCCTATCTACCGGCCACCCCCAACACATCCTCCATGCGCTGCTGCCCTCTTCCATCCCTCTCATCCACCTATCAGCACCGTCCTCCCCTCCCCAACAGCCGAACCTTGCTGTCCAGCCGTCCAACCACCAACCTGCATCTCGTCGGCCACTCCAGGCAACCCTCCTTGCTGTTTGGGACACCCCAACCAGCACCCTACACCTTCCCTTGTCTTTCCCACCATTGTCCCTGTTTCCCCACTCCTCCAACCATCAAATTAGCGATTGTCCCTCCTTCCAAATCCCCTTTCTAACCTACCACGCTACCTTCAGCCCTTCCCCATCCCCATACAACTTCGCGACGCCACCACCGCCCCGGGTCCTCTCTTTTGGCCTTAGCCAAAGCGTAGTGTCGTTGTATTGTTCTTTCCACTTGTGTCATTTTGTAGCCCCATTTCTACATTAATAAAAGTTTGCTTTGTGTTTTCGCTAAGTTCCTACCTAGTTTCGGTAGCAATAAACTTGCAAAACGAGCAAATGTGTCAAGCATAGAGAAAAAGCATTCACCTTTAGATTATTAATCTTAACTAGCATTGCTTCAAAAAACATCATAGAGCTTCTTTCAATGAAAAAATGCAATTTGAATCGTAATGTGACAAAACAATAGACTTATTGTCAAAATATAAGCCACTAAATTCTACACCTCATGATCATCGGCTGCATCATAAAATTATTAGCTTAATTGAAAGAAACTCCAATTATAGATCCATTACTATTTCTAGTTTAATCCGACAAACCAAAGACAATGCATGTTCGAAAAGTGGAGGGAATGATGTTTGAAAATGTCTCAGAGATGGCTACCAATGATGGCCACACAAAAAATAAATAATAAATATGACAGAAAAAAATAGCAATGATGTGAAATGAAAGAGAGATTTCATTTTAGAGAGAGGGAAAATCGAGTATGGTCGAAAATGAGTCAAATTGCAGTCCTTTTCTGCACCGCATGAATAAGACCGCCATAATGTCTGATCCAATTACAAAATAATAAGCATAATTCTATCAATTTTTATTAATTAAAATAAATTATTAACGATTTGGCATAAATATTTATGGGATATAGAGTACAATTACACCCCCAATTAGGTACGTAGTCCACCAATGTATAAAACTAAAATATAATTGAATGCTAAAGAAAATACAATCAAATAAAAAAAAGAGTCAAAATGGTCCCCTGACCCTTCCAGATTCTATAAAAGTATTCATTTAGTCCCAGACTCTTTTAATGAAAGCTAAAATAGTCCTCTCTAAAGACTATTTTAGCTCATATTAAAAGATTTTAGGGATATTTGACATTTTTATCTACTATTGGAGTAAAATGACAAAATATAAGTAGTCAAAGGACTATTTTGACATTTTACTCATCACATAAAGTAACCAAAAACTTTTAGGCAGTGTTGAAAAGATAAAAAATAAATAAGAGTTTAAAAGGGAGAAAATACAATATAAAAAGCAACGTACCTTGCACAAAAAAAAGATATATACTTTGAGTATGCACGAGCCTCTTGCTTATCTACAAATCAAATTTAGTATCTTCATAAAAACAGTTTTTAACAATAGCAGCAAAATTCTTACCCCAGAAAATAAAGACTTAAAAACAGAATATTCTACCATACCAAAAGAATATGGTGTAAACAAAGCTTGAACGTTATTTCACTCATTTTCATGTATACTCCTAAGCATGTTTGCATTATTCTTAACAAGTAACAAGATATATGCTCAAACAATAATGATTTAGTTGTATATTTAATGAGTTATTCTATATTTTCACATGAATCTTTTTATCCCACTTTACAGTGATGTATATTACTAAAAATATAAACAAAATGTAAAAGTATATTAAACAAATAGGTAGATAGTCCAAAAATGTTCATTTGTTTCATTAACATTTAAATTTCAAAAAAGAAAAAAATAGCATTTAAATGATGATATATGACAATTTTATAGTTGATAGTACACATTATACATCAATATCAGTTGCATCTTACATAATAATTCAAGTTTGATTATGACTCGAACTAAAAAAACAACAAAAAATCAATTGAACAATATTTTACCGTCGGAATCATGTTCAAGGTTAGCTAGAAAACAAACACTTAAAAACAAAGAAACCATACCATAAGAATATGGTGTAAACAAAGCTTGAACGTTATTCCACTCATTTTCATGCATACACCTAATCAAGTTTGCATGTTCCCTAACAAGTAATAAAATAGAATGTTCAATCAATAATGATTTACTTGTATATTTAATTAGTTATTCTAAATTTTGATATGAACTTTTATATCCCACTTTAAAGATGAGCTATATCAGTAGAAATATAAAACAAAATGGAAAAGTATATTAAGCAAAAAGGTAGATGGTTCAATTAAATGTTAATTTATTTCATAAACATTTAAATTTTAAAAAAGAAATAAAATAATGAAATATGAATAATTTTATAGTTGATGGTACACATTGTACATCTAAATTTGTTACGCCCTCTCAGCCCTTACACTCGCCGGTCCACCCTTAACCTGCTGGAAGCAGTGGAACCAGCCCACGGGAGGGCCGGTCTTGGTGACAGGAAGAAGGGGAGAGCACAAAGGGAGCCACAGAAGAGGGAAAGGAAATGGTGGGGTCCACTAGGGACATAATCACTTATGCAAGGAGGAGAAATTAAAGAAGTTTGGAGAGAATTAAGAATGAAAGTTTTTGAAATGTTGTGAGGCATTCTATTAGAGAGGGAACCTAGAATTTGCTTTCTTCTATGTTTGTTTTTATTTGGCTGATATTTTCTTTCTTCGTGCAAGTTCTTAGCGACCTATAGGGTGTGGGAGAGACGATCTATCTCTCGAGAAGTAGAACAACCTTGTATCTTGCTTATTTTCCTTTAATTTTTGTAAAAGCAGCCCTAGTTTGTGTTTCTTCCACCTATCTACTGTCGTTTTGTTGTGTTTTGTTCAATGATTTTGGTATCAGAGCATATAACTTGATGGGATGGCAGCAAAGAAAGTTGATGAGCTAGAAGGTGAGGTAGAACAAATCCGATCGGGAATGCAAGACTGATTTACTACCATAGAGGACAGATTTTCTTCTGTTGAAAGTCGAATGAATGATGGTTTTGAAGGCATAGGAGAAATGAGGGAGATAATGAAAAAGCTCATGGAAATGCAATCCAAGGCCTTGCGAACCGTTCCAATTGGAAATCCTAACCAAGAGTTGATCAGGGAATCCTTGGTCAGGTCAAAAGGAAAGGACATCGATCGAGAATAACAAAAAAGACATCATCTACCTACAAGAGCGTCCCCCTAGGACTCTGAGACTAGGGGGAGTGGACTTCAAATGGAGAAAATTTCTACATATTTAAGATCCGATCAACTCCTATAGAGCTTTTGAATGGTTCACAAATAACATATTAGTTATTATGAGCTATTTAGATGATCAACGGGCAGGAGAAGTAGAATTGAATTAACCATATGAATGATCAATCCCATCAGCTGAATGATGGACCAAAAGTCAAGATGCTCTATTTATAGTTTGTTCTTTGTTAATTTTATAAATTGAGTTCACAGAGGTTCTTACTTAGCACTATTGAGTTAATTTGTCAATTTCAATATGATGACAAAGCTTTAGGTATCTGTTACGTTAGCGCCTAGCCTAAAGATAAATTTGTCTTTTGTACGCCCAAGGACAATTTAGTTTATTATTATTATTATTGTTAGGTTTGTTATGTCTAGAGTTAGGTTTATGGATGAGATTGAGTAGTGAGTCTAAAATTTAGGATTGAAAGACTTCCTACCTCTCGAGTGTAGGTGTTTATCTTTGTATGCTTGCTGAGTTCTTTGAATTATTGAAGAAATATTATGTTTCCCCTAATTTATGTGGAAAAACGTGCCGATTTTAATATCAAGCTCTATCAAATTGATATCAGAAAAGTCAATTTTGGGAATCGAAGAAAAAAGATCAGTTGTCGAGAGCCAAATTTTAGATCCACGACGTAACCTCGGCATACAGAAAAAACCACGATGAGATCGCAGCTTGCTGAGACCCGGAACTCACGTCTGTTTCCTCAAGCGATCCATGATAGAAAAACAAGTGCGTCATAGCTTGCAGGGAAGACAACGAAGGGATCGGGGCTTACCGATTCGCGTACAATCGCGTGCGAGGTGGATAAGGGATCACGTTTTTCTTCTCCTTTTGCTTGGGATCGTCATGTGGGGAAAGATAGCGTCTTTCTGTCTTTTCTTCGTGATCATAGTGCACAACTTTGACACGAAGGAAAGCAACAAGCCGCACAAATCATAGCTTGTAGGGTGTCGACGATGAGATTGTGGCGTGCCTCAAATGATATAGTCACGATTCTAGTAGCTAGTAAGCAACAATGGGATCGCGGCGTGCAGAGCGACCTCACCCCTTCATTTTCTACAGCACCAACTCTAAAAGTCCGAAATTTTCAGTCGTTTGACTTGTCCGGCAGTGTACAGGTGTTTTCGTCTTTTGGTGATCAAAATTATTCTAAAAAGAATGGTAGCCAAGAAAGTAGATGATTTGGAGAAAAAATTAGAGAAAGATATCAGCCAAATTAGATATGTGATGGAAGAAAGGTTTGTCATCATAGATGATACGTTTTCTTCCATGAAGAACCGAATAGAACCGATTTGAGAGCATGGGAAAATTCGAGAGATGATGTAGATGCTCATTGAGATGCATTCCAAAACTCCACCAGCAGCTCAATTAGCAAAACCTAAAGGAAAAGAGATCGAACGAGAGGAACATGAGAAGGAAAACATCCACCATCACCCTCTCGGGGCTCCGATTGGGAGCGTTTAATGATTTCTGATGGAGGTGGTTGGGCCGAAATATAGAGAAGATATTATGAAAGAGGTATAGAGGAGCACGAAGAAGAGATGAGAGAAGCAAGAAGGGGATATGGCTACGATCGAAGGAGAGGTTAAAGTTAGGAAGTTGATGATGTCAATTTGCAACCAAGAAGACACAGGTGGGTGAGTGTATAGAGCTAAGCAATATTTTGCAGTGGATGGGTTAGATGAGGAGGAGAAACTCATGGCCATAGGGTTATATTTGGAAGGGAAAGCTCTAGCCTGATTTAAGTGGAGTGAGACTAGATACCCAATCCAATAGTGGGAGGAATTCAAGGATTGTTTTTTGAAACTTTTTCGAACAATTCGAGAATGAGACCTACATGAGCAATTATATGACTTGACTCAAGCGGAGACTGTCATGGAGTACAGAGAGATATTTGAGCTATTGTCGGGGCGGCTGAGAGAGATTTCTAAAATATAATTGGAGAAAAATTTCATAACGGGCCTAAAACCCAACATATGTACATCATTCCAACTATTGAGACCACAGAGATTGAGCGAGACGATTGAGCTAGCTCAGATAGTAAAGGACGGAATCAAATTAATAAGACCAAGAGGAGCAACATTGATGGAATGTCGTACCGAGCTGCTGCAACTACGATGATACCAAAAGCTCAAACAGTGGAAGTCCATGGGTAGGCTACAAGGGACACGAATAATAGACCTCGACCGGGAACAACACTCAAACGCTTTACAGAGACAAAAATTCGGGAGAAATGAGCCACAGGGTTATGTTTTCGATGTGATGAGAAGTTTACCCCAGGACACCGTTGCAAGAATCGAGAATCACAAGTTCTCATAGTGCATGACAAGGAGGCAAAGAATGAAGAAATAGAGATGGCTGTGAAGGAGGAGAAACACTTTCACTTTTTCCCACCTTGAGAACAAGAAGTCTTTTGGAAGGGCGCCTAGCTTAAGGGCAAATTTGTATTTTGTATGACTAAGGGCAATTTGGTCTTTTATTATAAGTATTATTATTGTTAGGTATAAATAGACTTGTTGTGTCTAGGGTTAGGTTTATGCATGAAATTGAGTTGTGAGTCTTAGATATAGATTTAGGAAAGATTTCCTACCTCTCAAATTGGAGGAATTAAAAGAGATCGCCTACCTCTTGAATTGTAGGTGCTTATTTTTGTATTCTTGTTGAGTTGTTTGAATTATTAAAGAAATATTGTGTTTGCCCTAATTTCTGTGGAAGAGCATGCCAATTTTGATGTCATATCATATCAATGTCAAGAAGGAATTTAACACTTATCTTTTTTATTATTATTATTTAGCCTTTTATTCAACTCCTTGCTAATTGCAAAAATTCTAAATTTCTTGCCTTAAGATATGGTCAGCTATTTGCTATTAATATGACTTTAGTTGTTGATGCAATATTGATTGAATGACAGGGTGCAATCATAATGCAACATTTACATCAATGTAAATCAAACTGACGCAGGCATCTCCTGCAACCGGGATAGAACGCAGCATCCAGGTTAAGTAAACAACGTAGAGCCAAACCGAGCGACCCTTTCGATTCCTTTCCAATTTTCAGTATGTTTCATTTTTATCCTTCATTCTTTTCTAGTCTTTCATATATATGTGTTGTATTAGGGGTTTTAATTCTTAGTTTTCGTCACATCTTATGTCGAGCAGCAGTCGA